TTGTGAGAAGAAGTAATTAGATAAGTGTAGAAGAAAAGAGCCTAATGTTATATTTTCTTTGAGTAGTGGAAGATTATATTGTGAAAAGAAAAGATTATAACATGTATTAGTTGTGTTTTGAGTTTGAGTTCTATTAGGATGAGTATATATATTAGTATTTGAAGTATTAAATGCATTATATGAGCTAGATGATATTGGTAAATGCATTTTTATGTGAGAATCTCCTAAGGCGCTCACCATATTCCTGGCTCTTACAGATGCAGAGGATACCAGAGTCTGTTCTGTATATGGAGTCTGCTGTCATAAACTTAGTTCTTCGCATAAATAGGCTTTACTGTCTGCTTACTTACATCATTCTCCTTACTAACTACAATGAGTATATCTTTTAGTAAGGTAGCAGCTGCATTTATGAATTTAGAAGACTCTATTGTTGAAAAGAATCTTCTAAGAAGAAGAGAGAATCTTCAAGCAAAGAAGGTTCTGTAAAGTTTACATTGAATTTATTAAAGAAGAAGTTTTCAGCTTCAGAGAAAGCTTCCTCTTTGTAGTATTTAATAATTTGTTGTAGTGTTAATTGCTTCTCTTTAATCATGTCAAAGTAAGTAATTATCCTTGCTAAAAAATGAGTATCAATCATTTTTGTAGTCATGTATTCGATTGCTTTTTCCTTTGTAAAGTCATGTATGTTGTGATTTTCTGCAGCTGTGTGATGATAAATATTTAGATATTGATAGAAATAGTAACTTCATCTTTTTTAATATTTAGTTGTTTTATTTTATTTGCAGATAATCTCCTCAGCTTGATCTGCTAATTCATCAATTAATTTTAAAGGAATTGGTTTTGAGAAATTAGCTTCATATTTTCTATTGATTTTGAAAATTGAGTGATCAATTGTAGGTAGTTTTCAAATTTCACTATCTTTTTTTGAGTATGTGGTGTAAGATTGTTTGAGAATTAGTTTAAACAAAGCAGAGAAGTCATGTTTATTTTTTTTGATATGAAGACATTCTTTTGAGTTGCAGTTAAGAATATAGAAATTTGCAAGATGGGTTATAAGTTGCACAACTTAAAATTTTTAAGCCTGACCCAGGTTATAGGGTATCTGGTTACCTTTTCTTTTATTTTCCATCTCTTCTATTATGTTACTGCCTAACAAAGTTTTTACGACTTGAGGCAAGTTTTTCTTTGTTAGTAAGCTTAGTGCTTTTAGATTAGTAACAATTTTTATTTTTTCCTGCTGCTAGATATTAATATCTTTTAATTTAGCTTTAGTTAGATTAGGAGGAACCTAGTTTTGGCAGTCTGATATCATGGTTCTGATCTTTTTGACTAGTATGACAGGTCATACTTAGGCACTCTTAGAAGCAGCCAGGTAATGTCAAGCTTAGGAAATTAGGTAGAATTTTTCTTAAAGTTCAATATATAATAAGTAGAACACTACATGTTAACAATCTAATAAAGTTTTATGACAAGACTGTCAAAGGAAAAAAATAAAAATAAAAATAAAAACAAACTTTAGAAGCAGCTCTCTAATTGATTAATACTTTCTGACTCTATACATTTGTTTATCTAGGTAATCTACTCTCAAGATCTGGGTCTTTTGTTGTTTCAAAAATTATAATCTACTAGTTGGTATATATAGATGTGTTTTCAAATACTAGTAGTTAATTAACCTGATTATTCTAAAATTTTTGAAGACTTTCTAAATTTTATCAGATATAATATCTCTTTTCTTCAATAGTACATTCCTTAATCTTACTACTAGATATGTTTTTTATGTATTAGTAGGAATATAACCCAAAAGAGTCTGTCTAAAGAGTGTAATCCCTTCTGTGGCATAGAATTTTTGATTTTTTTTTCATTTTCAAATATAATTTCTATATAGGTGTGCCTGTCTTTAAAAAGGTAGAGTTTAACAGCCACAAAATCATATCAAATTTTGGCATACATAGTTTTAATGATCTCGTTACTAGATATATTCTCCAGGCTTTGTTTTTTGTAAATAACTGCATTATCATTCTTAGTAGAAAAATTGCCTCTTGGTGAGGACTTGGAAACAGTTATCTGTCTCTTCTAAGCAGTGTAAATAAACTAGCCCATCTTCTAAAAGTAGGTGTTACGGTTTTCTCCTGTTTTGTAGTTACATTGTCTAGTTCTGTTTTCTGATAATCATCAGATGATTTATCACCTGCTATTGGATCAAGTGTTTCTACTGAATCTACTATTGAATTATTTGAGTTTTCTTTGTTACTAACTGTCTAATATTTTCATACCTGATAAGTGGTTCAGTGCTCAATTCACATTTCTCTTCTATCATAACAGCTCAATCTCTTGTAACCTGGTTACCTACTGGTGTACTTTCTCTGAGTGTTTGGTTTACTTGAAACTACTTCTTGTCGAATTTTGTTCACACTTCAGACACCCAGCACCTGAAGTAGGAAAGTGTGTCTGTCGATCTTTTTAAAGTAATACATTCAGTAATCTTCAACTTTTAACCTGAATAATATTTTCAATCCGATTATAGCATTGAACCTTACACTACAAAGAGATTTTAATATTTATCACAATATAATTTTATTCTAACAATCGTCTCCTAATGAGATAACTGCTATAATACTTCTATAGCAAAACTCAGCACAGTTTATTATAAAATTTACTTACAGAAAATAATTCTAATAATCAAAAATCATCAAAATTAATCCAGTAGACCAGGACAAATTGGCACTTTTTATGCTTTCTAACTGAATATATTTATAAAACATATCTCCTGATCATTTTGATAATTTTAGAATCATTAGAGCAGAAGAATCATTTTCTATACTTTTTACTTATAAATATATATGATATTTACTTTGTAAAAAAAAATGACTTTTCTTTTTTTGATTAAGTGGCAATTTACAGTAGTTACATAACCAATCTTCGTGTAATAAAGGTGTTACATCGAATATTAACAGATTTGCTGTCAACGAAATAATATAGATAGTCTTGAAATTTAGTCATCGGAACGAGCTGAAAGAATACGAAAACGAAATTACTTTAACTATCATTACATCAACAGATAATCTCATTAATTAAATCAGTTCAATTTCTTTATTAGTAAAATACTCGGTCATTTTTTAATTATCAAATTTAGAAGCTTAAATTTCTTTTAAAATCATCAATTATTACACATTATTACAATATCATTCAAAATCAACTTAAATTTCACTAAAATTTGTATTTGACCTAGAATTCCATTTTAACTTAAGCAGACTCTAATCTATAGTAGTTCCATTCAGATGCAATTGAAACTCTTATAAATTTACCTTTTAAACTATTGTTCACATTGCAATATTCAGTTGTGCTAATTTAATTAATTACATTACTATCGTGTATAAAATTCGCCACATAACCTATTATTTCTTTACATTTCTAATTTAGTGGATAATTATCGTACAATCTATTCTTAAAATTTAGGACCTGTAGTATTGAGGTTACTTAAAAGACTAAACAAGTAAACAAAGTATATGACTTTGTTTACTGCATGAGATCACATATCTACAGAGTATTTCTAAAAATAGAAGGAGTAAATAATGCCAATCTTTGTAGGGAAGAAACCAAATTTCCTACTTTATGTCAAAAAAAGGAAGACCAGAGGAGAAAAAGCTTGTAGTATAATATTGTTTTTGAAGCCTAAAGGAGTGTGTAGACAAAATAATTTATTATTCCCTATTCTTAAGTCTTCTTTTACCAACTTTATTAACAAAGAGTTCTTTTTTATCTCTTTATTAAAATTTTTTATACAAGGGCTCTACCTACTAGTTATCTTATATAATATTATTTTTAGCTTATATATTAAATATACAAAGAAGTCTCTGAGAGAAAGCAGTTGACCTTTGTAAAAACTATTGTGTTGTAAAAGAAACTTTTTAATCTTCCTCAATAAAATTTTTGTTTTTTTGCTTTTTTGAATTTTTTGAAAAAAAGGATTGTTGGAAAGAGTTTATAATGAAATATGAAAGTTTGTTTTTATTGTAACTAAACAGGTCATATTAGAAGGAACTATTTACAATATAAAGAAGTAGTTAATACTAGGTTATATTATAAAATATATAAGAATAGCAGACAAAATAAAAGAAACAATTTGTCCTAGTCATTTGACTAGTGCAACAGGTCGCACCTGGGCACTCTAGAAGCAGCTGGGTGAGGTCAAACTTAGAAATTAGGTGGTTTTTTTTTTAATCAAATGTAACTTGGCTATGGCTCTAGTTAACAACTTAATAAAGTTTATGACATGACTGTCAAAGGAAAAAAAAAAAAAAAAGAAACAATTTGTCTAATATTCAGATTAGTAAAAACAACTCTTATATAACAAATAAAAATAATAAAAATATTAATAAAAGTAATAATCTGACTAATATTAAAACTAGTAAAAACAATCTCTATATAGCAGATTAAAGTAATATAAATATTAATGAAAACATTATTATAGAGAATATTTCAAGTAAAGATGAAGAAGATATATATTATTAGAAATAGAAAAATAGTTATTAGAATTAATAATTATAACAAAAAACAAAGATTTGAAGTAATACTTGTTAACTTCACATTCTATAAGTAGTAATATAAAGTCTGTTAAGATAGAAATAGAGAATTCAAGAATATCTTCTGAATAGAACTCTGTAGAAATTAAGCAAATTTATATAGAAGATGAATTTATTATAGTTTTTTATAAAAAAAAAAAGTTGAAGAAAAATAATGATCTTATGAGTAATTATAAAAAAATTAAAACCTTAAGAAAAAAAAACAAATATTTAGATCATAAATAAATACAAATAGAACTAAAATATTTAATATTAGTAAATTTATACTTTTATAATAACTAAATATAATAAAATTAAAATAACTATATTAAATATAAAAGAATTAAATAATAGTTATAAATATCCAAAAATGCTTATATTACTTAAGATCTATAAAATTGATATGATTATATTTTAGAAGATTAATTTATATAAGCTACAAAAAAGAGTTTTTTAGACAACTATAAACTTTTAATTCTTACTAGACTTCAAGAATAGTACTATTAGCAAAAAGTTTAGAAATTATTTTCAAAAAAGTTTAAAAGTTTTTTGATAGTAGAGTTATAGATACTCAATTCAAATTTAAAGAGAGACTATATTATATAATAAATATTTAAATATCTCTAAATATTAAAAACAGAAAGAGATTTTTTGAAATATAAACTCTAAAAATAAAAAAAAATAAGATAATTATTGTAGCAAGAGATTTTAATATTAATTAAATTTAGAGACAAATAGAACAAGCCAGATTATTTTTCACTAAATACTATAGAAAACAAACTAAAAGAATTAGTAACAGGTCTATTAGATATAGTAATAATTGTATAAAAGCTCTTTATAATATTTTACTAAAAAACAAGAAATAACTATATAATAGCTACTTGCTTAAATTATATATATATTAAAGAAAAATATACAAATTTTGTAATAAAACTTATACAAGATTTAGAAACTCAAATTATATATTAGTTAAAAATATAATTTTATTCAAAAAATATTCTAGCTAGATTAGCTTTTTAGAAGTTTAACAAAAAATATTTAAAGATTAAGTTGCTATATAATAATATTAGAAAAGAATTAAAGACAAATATAAAGTTAGTAGAATGAGATTTTTGCAAGTATAGAATTTAGTCTAAAATCAAAGCCTTAGCTACTTTAACTATCTCTGAGAAAAAAATTTAAAAGCTTAATAAAAAGATATTATATTATAAAAAAAGGTTATATTAAAGCCAAATTGTAATAATTTTTTAATTATTATAAATAAACTCAATTTGCAATTAGAAAAAGAACTTATAAACTTAGCAAAAAGTAACAAGTTAGATTAAAAACAAGATAAATAGAGAATAAAAAAAGATCTATTAAGTATTTTTTTTTGCTAAATACAAGTTTTATTAATTAGCTTTATTAACTAGAAAAATCAAGCTAAGAATTTAATTCTTAATAAAAAGACAAGAGATACTCTTTATTTTATAAAAGAACAATATGCTAATTTGTATTTATTATAAAAATATAAATTATAAAGCTATTAAAAAATTAACTAAGAATTTGGTACAAGTATTAACAGAAGTAATCAAATATTAGTAAAGTATATTTCAAAGGAAGAAATTTTTTAAGTAATCTCAACTCTACTAAATAAAAAAGCTTCAAGTATCAATAGTTTCTTATATAAGTTTTACAAAATAATAAAAGAAGAATATGCTATAATACTAAAAAAATTATTTAATAAAGCTTTATTCTTAGCTACTATATTAGTCTTATAGTATAAAAATATAATAATACTAGTTTTAAAAAAAGCAAATAAGCTAGAAGAAATTAATAATTAGCATTTAATTTCTTTAATCAATAAGAATATCAAAATTTTTTTAAAAATTATAGCTAACTGTTTTAATATCCCTTAATCTGTAAGCTATTCTAAGCAAATTTGTCTAGAAAATTTATATAACAATATCTATAATCTATATTTTTATAAATTAATATATTTGAACAAAAATTTTTTTAATAATATTTGAAAATAAGAAATATATAATTGTAGTATTCTTAAACCTTCTACTACAAAAAGACTAACTATATTATTAGAGAAATGAACAAGAAAAAGCTTTCTAAACCTTAAAAAATCACTTTATAACTGTATTAATCCTACAATATTCAAACTTTAAACAACCTTTCTATGTTCATACTAATACTTTACAATTTGGTCTAGGTACTGTATTAGCTCAATTTGATGAAAACAAAAAGAAACATGTATTATATATTCTAGCAAAAGTCTAAACAAAGCTGAACAAAACTATTCAGCTATAGAATTAGAATATTTAGCTGTAGTCTGAACTATTGAATATTTTTACTAATATTTAGAAAAAAATTACTTCTACTTAATTACTAATTATACTGCTTTAAAATAGTTAATAATAACAAAATTAATAAGAAAAAGAGTAAGATTGATTATACACTTAGAATACTATCTCTTAGATTATAGGCCAATGTAGACAAATTTGTTTGTGTTTTTGTATTCATTCAGCTTTGATTTACTTTTTTAAAATATAAAAATATTAAAAAAATAATTATAGATAATAAAATTTGAAAATAAGGATTATCTTT